CTTTATAAGTAAAGGACATTTTATTTGATCTAACTACTTGGATATGAAGTTAAGAAAACAAGGCACTGAGAGGTGACATTATTTATCTAATCAGTAGAGTACTTCTGCCATCCATCCTACATACAGGTGTCTGGAACAAGGTGACAAACTCAGAAAATATTAGATGTTTGAGTAACATGAACTCAGGTCATCTGGCACTCAAATGACTTTACACTATAATAAAATCTACCACTGAGTGAACGCCTACTCTACGTTCAAATAAACCTCATACCTATGAAGTGCCATTAACCCCATTTTACTGATGAAAAAAACAGAGGCACACATTTAAGTTACCTGACCAGCTTGACACAACTAATAAGGAAGTAGCCAGATTTCAGGTTCAGGTTGTCTGATTGCAGAGCCCATGCCTGTGACTTAACTCTAATGCTGCCCTGGACTTTATGACTGACAGCATGATTAAAGGCAGGAGACTTTAGTGCCAGGTTCCCAGTACCTATTCTCACGTGTCAAGCAATAACAAACAACTCAAAAACATTAAAAAGCAGAGATATGGAACCCAGAGCATCCACTCATCACTGTGAAGACAAAAGGCAATAGTGGATGGTCATTTAAATGCACCAAATTACCACTTCTTTGCATGCCCAAACACTGCTTTGCATGCGCAAAGATTCTTTTGGGATAAAAGTTGAAAATAATTCAACTCTGTAATTTAAAAAAAACACCCTAATTCTGTTGTTTACATCTCTATGACATAACAAGCTATTTATTGATAAATAGAAAGCAAGAGCAAGGGAAAAAGAAATGAAAAGAAACACATTCTAAGTATAGATCACTGATGATTGATTCGCAAGTGAAGAATACCTAAATAATGGCCACATGCTCCCAACTCTCCCCCAGTGCTCCGTTCTTTCCAGTGGCAACTTTTATGATAACCATGGGGTTTCCTGACTCAAAAAAAAAAAAAAAAAAGAAGAGTAATGTCCATCTTAAGAGGGCCATGAGTTTCTGACCTAGGAAAATCCCTCTTCCTTCTGTGAGATTCTCCCTCTCATCTCTGCATTAAAAGGAATGATTCTAGCAACCAATAGTGTAGATTCCATGAAACATAGAATTGCAAAATGGTTACAGAAAATGTGAGCGCGTACACACACACACACACACACACACACACACACACTCCAGCCGGGGTTCTATCATATTTTGGCCTCACATGCCCCAAATGGTGCTACTTCCTTAAGGCATAGTCAAATATTAAGAACGATGGCATCCCAAATTCACACAGACCCATGTGCCTGCTCCAGCCATATTAGATCCACTGATTTGATCCCAGGAAAGCATTCTGTGTGGCAGTGGAGGAAAGTAAAGAAAGAATAAGGGGTAGTACTTGTTTTCTCTGGTCCCCATTTAAAAGGAGTTTATATGTGCTAAAGACAATATGGCAGTAGAAATCAATTTTAATTCAAATTATTTAAAATCACAGGAAATACTTTTTACAACACTTTTCAGCCATTCACAAAGCTGCAAACTCCGTAAAGAAGTCTTTACAGAAAGTTGCTTCAGTACACTACAGACATTGTTACAGACTTCCCTTCTGCCTTGTAAAAGTGGGGCTTCTGTAGCCCTCACAGACAGATGTGCTCCAGGTTCAGTGCCTGTGCCTGCATCAAAAAGGACTTCCCTGGCAGTCTTTCCCCATCACTGTTCCCTATAATGCCAGACCTTACCATACATACAGGGCCCTCACCTCCTTCCAGCCTGCCTAGAAAGAGCTCCAAGCTCCTCCAAGGCAGATCACCCAGCTCTGCCTCGGGTCAGAGAACTGATTTCTGAGGTCCAACTGTTCCTCTAAAACTTGCCAACTCTACTTGGCAGAAGCCAGGCCATGGTCCCTACAGAGTGTTAAAAAGCTGTGTTAGTGACAGAATGGTGTTTTGTCTCTTCTGCTCTGGAAACAAATACTCTGATGAAGTGAAGTAGTTTGATGCTTGACTTTCCATTTGGACAGGTGGTGTTTCTTTGAAACAGATGCTGTTTGTTGGCTGTCACTGCATGTCTGGGGTTGGGCAAGGGGCTGAATTATGTTTCTGAAGCCCTTAGGTTATAGATAAAGACCTGCTCCACCAATGTCAGTCACTAGGGAAAGGTAAATCAACTAATTATGATCTATTGGGCCCTTTTATTGCCAACTAAATGTATTTACTGGTCCAAAGTGAGGTCTCTTTTCTTTATTATGATGAATACTCCCTTCAGTTATAGGCAATGTACTCAAATTTCCTCAGTATGTGGACATGGCCAATGTTTTACCAACCCCAGAAGGAAGCCACACCAGATTGGCCTAAGTTAAAATCCCAACTAATGATTCTCCTTCACAAGCCATTTACCAGGACAAATTTGATGGATTTCTTGAGTTATACCCTAACTGGGTCTGGTCTTTAACTGTGACCGTGGTTACATAGAGTCTTTTCTGGTCTCTGTGCTCATGACATGTTTGTGTTCTGTCGTGTGTCTTATTCATGCCACATGTATGGGCCAAGGGAAGGGAGCTTTCTCCTACAGCTTAGTGAATGATGGATGGGCACCCAGATGGGTCTGATATCTACTCCCTGTGCTTTCCATTCAGCTTCACAGACTCCTTTCTGAATATCTCCACACAAAGTCCTGTGTACAAACTTCAGGGAGTAGCAGTGAGAGAGGTGCAGTCCCAGCCCCTAAAAGTATAGCTCATGAGCAGAATCACACATATTCTTATCATTCTACCTAGTGCCATAAGAGTCAGCAACATACAGAAGGAGGAGAGTCCAGCATTTGAATGGAAGGATTTATAAAGGTTTTGTGGCAGAGATAACATTCAACATAGACCTGAAGAAATTGTGATAGGTGAGAAGTGGGTCGAGCATGCTCCAGACGAAGGGGACAAAAAGAGTAGAGGTGAGAAAACACAGGGCTTGCTTTCAGGAAAAACAAAGGGCCCACTTTAATAGAGAATGCATTAATAAGTAGAAGCAATTGGCTGCGGTCATACTGTAAAGGATTTCAAATGTCTCTGTATTTTTTATTCAATGTCAGTAGGGGCCATTCAAGGCCATTGACGTAGAGGGATCATGGACCAAACAGGCTCCCAAAGATTATCCTGGCAATGGTTTGCAATATGAATCACAGAGAGGAGGATCACCAGCAAAGAAGCCATTTAGAAAGCTGTTGCAGTTATTCTTGTAGGAGAAGATGAATGTGGTTACAGGTCATAATGGGATGGGGACAGATAGAAGAAGTAGTGGGCTCTATGTTCTTCACCAGACATCACCTCTACCTTAAGTCTTAGTAGTTTGGAAAAGAAGTCTGTTATGTGAGCTTTTTGAGACTTTTATGCTCTTGCCTATGGCCTGACCAGGTACAAACTGATTCTGGCATGGACAGAAAGTGGGCAGATATGGGGCTGACCTCCCAAAAGACTTACTGCAACCTCCTCAATTTTACCTCTGGAGTGCCTAAAAGGTTCAGAAAGGCATTGCTTGTAGGGTTGCCCCAAGAATGATGGAGGCTCCCAGTCACCTTTCTCTTTCCCCATTGCACTGACTGTACCTTGCCTGTATTTGGGTGTTTTTTTTAATCAGACATAAGTTTAAGATTGCTCATCAACATTTTAGTCACACTGGTATTCTGACTGAATATATTTTTCTCCCTCACACAACCCTATTCTGGGAAGTATCTACTAAGAACTGCTTGTCTTTATTGGCATATGGCTGAAGGAGGGAGGTGAAGGCCATGACTCAAGGAGATATAACATAAGGTTTTGTGAGAAGCATTCCCACTTCCAGGGATTGAGGGTCTCCTAGTTGCCCACCTCCATACTAGGACTTCCTGACATTAATTACATCTTCAAGTTAGTTCCATGGACCTTTCTTGAACACCTTTTTTTTTTTTTTTTTGGCCTAGTGTTGATCTGAGTGTTACAGAGGCCATAAGAGAGTTCTCTTTTAGATGATCACAGTGACCCAGAATATAATTGGAAAACAAATAAGCAAGTGCTGTTTTGTGTGGTGTTGAACCTATTGCTCTAAAGAACCATCCCCCAACTCCAGTATCTATCAAATTATCTTGGGAAGATGGTTTAAATGCTCCTTTCTAGATTCTCATTCCTGCAATTTCTGATTCTGCAGATCCAGGGTAGGATCCAGGAATGTGCAGTTTTAATAAGTTCCCGAGCAATTCTGTTATATGTAGACAGCTGTCCATTTTGAGAAATGGCTCAAGATCAGAAAAGAGAGATGGATAAGGTCTGAGAAGGCAGTGGCTTAGAAAGAGAAGGAAGGTTAATATGATGGGAGCATGACAGGGAAACTGCATTGAATGGTGTCCAAACCATGATCCTTGGAGTCAAACAGCCTTCATTTGGGTTCAAGGGCCATTAATTCACCAGCAGGTTGACCTCACTTGATAAGTCATTATAACTTTATGAGCCTGTTTTCTTTTCTGTAAAATTGGAGAAATAATAATTCATTGCAGTTGCTCTGAGTTTTGATGAAATAGCACAAAGTGCCTGTCAAAGAGGGTACTCATTAATGTTAATTCTCCACCCCTCTCCTCCTCCCATTAGACCTACCAAAAAGTCACTTTAGAACCAGATAACTTATTTTTCCCTTCTTTGTGAAACCCACTGTGTTCATCAGAAATACACATGAGCACCAGCCTCACCCCCCAGTACTGGCTGCATTAGAAATAAAATGTCTCTCTCTGAGAACAATTTGTGGTCCTCTCCCACAGAGAACACACTTAAAAAATGAAACCCTGATATTTCTTTTTCTCCCTCCCTGCCACCCTCCTCCCATAGTATAGTACTGTGCAGGGCCTGCTGCTGAGAATAAATACAGTATGTCCCAGGGAAATGACAGGCCCTTTCAATTGGTCCTTGCCTCCTGATGGGTAGCCAGGGATGCTTGTTGTCATGGTAACCCCATGAACTATATGACCCAGGCAGGGCCTGATCAGAGACAAAGCTCTCTGAGCAGAGAGGCTGGATTTGCCTGTGTCCTCAGGAGAGCTGGAGAGAAAGGAAGAGAAGGTGGGAATGGGGGAGAAAAAGGGAGAGAGAGAAAAAGGGAGGGAGGGACAAAGGAGAGAGGCAGAAAGAGAGAGTGTATGTTTGTGTGTGTGTATGTGTGTGTGTGTATAGAGACTGGAGGTCTGCCAAAGGAGTGCTGCATCAATACAGAAGCTTCTCAGGTCAGGACACATAGGATGGGTTATAGAGCGAACCAAGAAATTCTCCTAGGAGACTGGTGCAGCAGCCCAGTGCAAAGGTCCAGGTAGGGGGGTGACAAGGGCTTGATTTAGCATTTTAGGGGTGATGATGAGACCTATTGTTAACATTTATTGAGCACTGACTCATCCCCAGAGCTTCTATGAAATATTTGATATTCATTAGCTTATGTAATCCTAACAACCCTGTGAAGGTAGTATTGTGTTCACCTTGATCGTATAGTTCAGGAAACTGAGGATTCAGGAAACCCCAGGATTACCTGGCGTGGAAATCGGAGAGCGAGATTTTCAAGTCAGACAGCCTGATACAAGGACAGAAATTGTGAGGAAGACATGATGATTCACAGGATAAAGATCAGGTACTGCCCCTCCCCCAACTCACACGTGTACAATTGCATTTAGTCCTACAAGTCAGAAAGCCATGGTCTTGCAAAGGGAAGTGGCTCACTGTAGCACTGCCTGGGTCCACTAGGGAGCCCTTGCCTCCCTTTTGCACTGTTTGCATTAGGGGGCCACATATACCCTTCTTTCCCCAGGATGGGGCTATAGCATGAGATGATGCCAATGCCCTACATGTAAAAATGGAAGAAGATACATAGGGTGTAAGCTAAGGTTCCCTACTGACCCATGACAGATTGAACCTAACACACCTCCAAAGATTTTCACGCTTCTCAAAAAACTCTGTAGTGTTTCTGACTCCTTTCAACAAAGAAAAGCTAACCATTTTAGACTGATTATACTATCAACACAAAGAGGGAGGAAATTCCATTTTTTTTCCCACCTACTGTGTGCTGGGCAATGCATATGCATTCAGTGCCCTAGGGACATTCAGGCATGAACCCTCCTCTTGCCTTTTGATTTAGGTATTATCATTTCCTTTTCACAAGTTAGGGAGCTAAGATTCAGAGAGGTGAAATTCTGCCCAGGTTCTCACCATGATTTGTGGGATGCAGCTGAAGTATAAACCCTGACTCCTGAACCCTCCTTCCTTCCACATTCCCATCTCATTGCTAACGGAGACACCCCCTCACTGCCTTTGCCACCTTTTAAGGTGGAATCCTTAAAGCATGAGGGGAAATGAGACACCGGTTTGGCCTCCACAGCCAGAGCACTTTCTCCTGAAGCACCAGGCTGGATGGAGATCCATGGTGCAGGTGTATTCTGAAGGACTGTGTTAAAAATCATAAAGGCAAAGGCATACTTACTCCTGTTACGGCTCTGTTCTTACCATGCCTGCTTGAAAAGCTCATAAACAGCAGAGCGACACACAATAAGAGAAAGAGGAGAAAGGTGGACAGAGTGAGGTGGCGAGGATGGATCTGGGGAGATGAATGACCCAGGAAATGAATGGCCTTTACCACACCAAGAACAGCGACCCAGCACAAGCTGTGATTTGCCTGCTAAAGCACTGCTTTCTCCTGCTGATATATAAATTGTATGTTGCTTTCTTTTAAGAGGCTGTTGCTGTCAAAAATAGCATCTTTTTTTCCCCCCCTCTCTCTCCCTCTTATCAGCAACTTTCTTTCAGGCTTGCCCAGTGTTCTTTTCTAAGAAGGCAACTGCCATTCTACAAAGGCAGAGCAAGGGGGAGAAGGTCTGGGTACCTGTCCCAGCCCTGCTGCTCAGGGCTTGTGGGTGTAGGAAGAGACTCCTGTTCAGACCCACCCTCCCACATTTACAACCTGTAAGATCTTAGATATGTAGCAAACAGCCGTACAGACCATCAGTTGATAGTTAGGGGCCCTAATATCAGGGCTGAGGACAAACCCCAGCTCTTCCAGTTCATGACAAGAGTTGCTCTGACAAGTTACTTCACCTTCTTCAGTTTCCCCAAATACAACAACTAGAGGTAACACTAGCATTCACATTGGTGGTTGTTAAATAATTAAATGAGATAACATAAGGTACTTATCACAGTGCCTGGCACACATTCAAGTGACTAAGAAATGTTAACTATCATTATTAATTTCTCAGAGACAGATTTTTCATCTCCCAAATGGGGTTCCTATTTAACAATAAGCTTTGCATGGTGCATAATGAGTTCTTGAACCCTAATCCCCTTTCCTCCCCCAACTTCTCCTTTCCTTTCTTCTTCCCCTTGACACTCACTGCCTATTCTGTTAGTTTTGGGATCTGACCAACATAAGTGGTAATTGCCTTCTCTGCACCAGACCACTCTCAGCTTCTTTACATTGTAATGAGTGAAATTTCAGGATACCAAGAGACAGAAATATTCGAATATATAATTTTATTCTCTTTTTTGCTCAGTGCCCTCCAAAGTTCAGCTAATAACCATCTTGCTTCCATTCATATGCCTAAAAGTAGAAAGGTCTTGAACAGAGCCTGATTTCTGAGGGCAGGCAAAAAGGAAGGGGAATGGATGGCCCTGAGTTGAGCCCCTGCACAGAAACTTTGGACCATCTGTTTTAGTGACATTTATGAATGACCCCATGTGTTAAGATCATGGCTTGGTAAGCACATCTAACCAGCCCCTGCTTCAGGGAGGAAAGGGGCAAATCCCAGGCAAATCCCTTAGCAGCAGAGCCGTCCTAAGGACATGGAGTTAGTGAGCCAGAGGAGTCTCCAAACAAAAGAAAGTCAGACAGGCATATTTTGCATATTCATGGCACATGTAGCAGAAAAAGAGCATAATGACCTCTTAATCATATTCTCTATTCTGAGGGGAATTAAATTTATTCCTCTGGAGGAATGTTAAGAAAAAAAAATCCATAGCACCATTTAAGCCAGTCTACTTGTGGCGTGAAAATACCACAACTTGTCCCCACTCTGGTGTCTTTTCTCTTATTGCCTCCTTCTTTCTACCTGTATTTCAAACTATGGTCCAGTGAAGCAAGAACCTAGTAGAATATTTAGCATGTTGAAAACTCCTATTGATTGTCCCACTGAATGATTCCTACTTGGCCAACTTCCATACAATGACTTTCTGAGTATGTTATAAAATCAGCTGATGTGTCTGGTCTTGTGTAGATTCATGAGAACCAGGAAATACTAGTCCTACTGTATAACCACATAACATAAATTAAACCAACCAATTCTTTTTTAAGTGTTTATCTTTGAGAGAGAGACAGAGAGACAGAGCATGAGTGGGGAAGGGTCAGAGAGAGAGGGAAACACAGTATATGAAGCTGACTCCAGGCTCTGAGCTCTTCCAGCACAGATCCCAATGCAGGGCTCAAACCCATGAATTGTGATATCATGACCTGATTGAAGTCAGACACTTAACCAACTGAGCCACCCAGGCACCCCCAAACCAACCGACTTAACTCAACAGTGTCTTTGGCCATTACTAAGGCATATCCTAAAGGCAGCAGATGGAAGCACAGAACTATAATCACATAAATTAATTTTACCAATATTCCAAGCATAGGATTTTTCAAAGCACTAAAGTAAGTACTCTTAAGGAAAGCAAGATGATTATGATATTGGGACCCCCAAGACTGGCTATCTAATGCAGGGGCTGGAACAAAACCGCCTCCAAGGGCCAGGTAAAGAAAATTAGTAAAATGGATTTGTGGTAAACTCTTAACATGGTTTCCTTATTTTTAATAGACCCACGAGTACAGTCACTCTTTCTCTAGTCTAACAAACAAACAAACAGTGCAAATACTCTGATAAATAATAGTTATGGTTAACATTTTTTAATGTTTATTTATTTTTGAGAGAGAGAGAAAAAGCAGGGGAGGGGCAGAGAGAGAGGGAGACACAGAAACTGAAGCAGGTTCTAGGCTCCAGGCTGTCAACACAGAGCCCAACTTGGGGCTTGAACCCACAAACCATGAGATCATGACCTGAGCTGAAGTCGGACAGTTAACCAACTGAGCCACCCAGGTACCCCTATGGTTAACATTTTCTAAGCACTTGCTGTATATGGCAAGCACTCTCGAAATCCTCAAATGCATTCCCTAATTCATGTAATCCTCATAAGAACCCAACAAAGTAGGTACTATTAAGAATCTCATTTTTTAGATAATAAATCAATAGCACAGAAAGGTTAAGTAAATTATCAAAAGTTACACAGTTAGTTCAGTGGCAGAGCCAGAATTTGAACCAGGCAGTCCAGCTTCAGAGTCTATTCTCTTATCCACCACACTATCCTATAAATGGAAAACTGACAGTCTCTGGGCAATCAGAAAAAATGATGGGAACTTGGTGAACAGAAGATTATATGCCTATGTAGAGGGAAAAGGCTCCACTCAGTTCTCATTTAATATAGTGCTATTTCAGAACATTGGCCAGATCTGGTTTTTCAAAGAAACTGGAAATCTCAAATTTTGTGTGCACTATTCAAAATGTTGAATGTTGGTCACAGTTAAAAGAGGAATAGAGAAGACACAGGCTAGTACCAACTAATAGTAATACAAAAAAAGAGAGAAAATACCATGAAAATGATGAACGATCAATAGATGGATGAACAAAGGCGCAATGGGAAAACCATGCAGGAGTCTTGCCCTTCAGGTGGGAGTTCTGGGGAGGCATCCAAGAGGAGGTAACAGTCCCCAAACAGGGCCCTAAACTAGTGGGGAGAATATATATGAGCAGGATATATTATATATATCTATATAATATATATGGATGAAGATATTTCAGGTAAAAGACCCAGCAAGCATACAGTACAAGAGAGAAGGGGAGAGTAATCCACACATTCTTTTTCTATCTTTCTATTGCTGTTTGCAGCAGGGAATCATACCCTCGAATGAAATCTCTCATGCATTCCCATTAAAAAAGACAAACAGGAGAGGGGAGCTGCTGAAACAGGAGATGAGGGGCCGGAGGTGGTAGTGGAAAGGGGGAGGAAGAAGAGAGCTAGAGACAAGTTTGGGCCCAGGGTGGGAGACCTAGGAGATCAGTGTTCCTCTCTCCATCACTGGAGGAGACTATTCTCCAACATAACAACCCTGTATATTTTAAAGTCCACAAGAAAATAATGGTCCTGCTGGCCTGCTCAGCATTCTGTTCACATTGATGTCTGTCTTTTGGTGGCCAGTCCTTAGAATTGGCCCAGCTTTTCTTCCTTTCATTGAACCAGAGGTGGCTGAGATGAGACCAGTGGGATGGCTCTTGCCCTGAATGGTGTTTTCACCCCCTCTGTTAATTATAGGGAGGCTTTCATTCATGCCCTCCCTTATCTTTTGTCAAGTGTCTCTGAAGTGTCTGACACAGATCCTGTGGTGGTGCTGCTGGCAAATGGTTCTGTGTTACAGGACCAAAATGTGGTTTACTATCAGCTGCAAATGCACTGTTGACACCTGCTTCTCACAATGTGGGGCAGACTACAGATCAAGTATGCCTCCAGAAATGCCTTCTGTCTGGAGAATCCCTGCTGGAGGGGCCAGACTTTAGGTCCCCACCCAGATTTCTGCACTGTACCAGGTGATGTTAGCCATAGAACCCCAAAGAAAGTTACAGGGCCTGGGACCTCTGGGTGGCTCAGTCGGTTAAGTATCCAACTTCAGCTCAGGTCCTGATCTCATAGTTCATGAGTTTGAGTCCTGCATTGGGCTATGTGCTAACAGCTCACAGTCTGGAGCCTGCTTCAGATTCTCTCTCTGTGCTTCTCCCCTGCTTGTGCCCTCTTTCTTTCAAAAATAAATAAATAAAATTTAAAAAAAGTTACGGGGCCAGAAATAGACATCACACATGTAAAACTAGTATGTGGCTTCTGGGGCTTGGGTAATACAACATATATTGTTGTGATACAACTATATTTCAGAAATGTAAAATTCCCTCATTCAAAAAAACATTAATCAAAAAGGTTTTGTTTGCTTTTGTGCTGGGTGCAGAGTCCCTACCATTAGAGAGCTCTCAGTCTGGTCGGAGGAGTGTGTGATGAGCGTACTGTTCTAGGGAGTGCAAGTACAGTGGGACAGAATGAAAGTCTGATGCATTCTGCCTGGGTCTTCCAGGAAGTTTTGCAGAGAACAACATATGCCAGAGCCTTATATAATGAACAGGTTCTACACAGTGGCAAAGTGTACCAGGTAGATCATGTACTAACACAAAGAGGTGTGGCTTTAGTGTCACTGCCAATCCACCCACCTGCCCACAAATAATCTCAAAGCACTTTAACATCTGTCATCTCATTTGATCCTCACAACAGACAGCTGGAGTTGGAGCTTGTAATTATTCCCATTTTACTGGGAAAGCTGAGGTACAGTTACGGTAACCAAATATCCTGGCTTGGCCAGGATTGAGAAGGTTCCTAAGATGTCAAACTTTTAGTGCAAAAACCAGGAAAATTCCAGGCAAACTGGGACCAGTTGGTCACTAGAGGCACAGTTACAGGACTTTCCATATAATCTGACCAGAAATTAGTGAGGGACTCAAACCAGACCCAGGGTTTTTCTACCACCTCAGATGCAGAGATAAGAGAATGTTCTACATGTGCTTCTTTTTTCTTTTTTTTTTTTTTTAACCAATTCCTTTGTGTTATTTT